AGTATACCTGTCTCTTATACACATCTAGATGTGTATACTCTCTCTCTCTCACACACACACACACACACACACACACACACACACACACACACACACACACACACACACGGAATAGGCCCTGAAAGACAGCAGAATTGGGTATGCCAAGGATTTTTGGGAAATTGTGTGTGGGTACTCGGACAGAACTGAAGTCCCAGTTTAGTGAGAATTGGTCATCGTTGCGGGGGAAGGAAACAAACACGTGCAACTTTCAAACATCCATTCAATCCAAAAAGTATGGCTGAAGTTTTGTGCGGGCTACGGGCCGTCTTTTAGAGTGAAGGGTGAGGGTACGCACGTGGGATCTCGTTTTCGGATCAGATCCTGATGTCGCCCGTTACAGAGTTCGGAATCCGACGTGGATGGCCTTAGCCTGGTTGCTTGTTCCTTATGTTCATCTTCGTCACGTGTTCGGTAGTGGAACCCCCTTTTTTGATAACGTTCTGCACATGACAATCGCTGCACAGGGTGTTAGGCCAGTGGGGTGCTACTGCCGCCTACAGGATGACCATCAACTCGTTAAAAGGCAATAACAACGGGTACAGAGGAAAGTGAGTATCGATAATGACAAAACCAGTGCCTACGAATCCAGAGCACCTTGTCTCCAGGCGGAAAATAATAACGGCCGCCGATCTTGGCGACGACTTCCCGTACGTTCCACTCGTAGACACGTGTCCTTTCCTCGTTATATGAAAATGGCTGAGATGGGGATGCGGGAAGTCGGCACCCAGATGGGTCAGAGCAATCGCTACACATGGCACAAGCAAATTTTGAGTACATGAATCTACTGAATCGATTGTTCAATCACAAAAGTAATCACTTGTGATGCTATAGACTTTCTTGTATTTCATTCATTCGGCGAACCGATAAAAAAAAGGTGTGAGTTCAACCTGATCACAACCACAATCATCATTCATCATAGGAGCAACAAGCATGCATTCTCATAATCTCGACGGCGTTTAGCTTAGTCGGCTCAATCAATACACATGCATAACAAATCTTATATAGATGAATCCTTCATTGTTCAATAGATACATCAATCGACAGAAAAATAAAGATCGATAGGATCTTCCAGAGCTTACTGGTCCCTTTGAGTTCAACGATGCTCATCCTGCGAGGTCCGATTGAATTCAACAAAGGCAAGCGAGATCAATGAAATCTTGAGTTATTTCGCCATTCATCAGATAGTCACGAACAAGGGAACAAGAGAGAGAGAGAGAGAGCGAGCGAGCGAGAGAGAGAGAGAGAGAGAGAGAGAGAGAGAGAGAGAGAGAGAGAGAGGCGTAGCTTGATCAAAGAAGAAAACAGAGGAGAGAGAAAGAGAACTCAGGTCACACGAAGAATTTTGAGGGAGAGCATCCAACTATTAGCCATGGACTTAGCTTTTAGAGAACCAAAAGAAGAAGAACACGAAAATCAAGGTGCACCGGCCTTCTGCTCTTTGATAATGGCCCCTGGTCATGCAAGCACTTGTATACACATTCTCTTCTCACTTAGGTATTGATGATCTCGGCTGCCACTTACCGACCTCCAAACCACAACGATTGTCACACCACCAACTCAACTTTTGCACGAACTTGCCCAGATTCCGCAGTTTGTCACGACCAACCGGTGCACAGTCATGCATACACTGCAATTAACTCGTCAGGACTTTCCGACTCGCTACTTCAAGTTGCTCATCACCTAGCCACAACTTCCCTGAAGTTGGCAGATGGGTTGAGAGAGTTTTTTTAGCGCGCTTGCAGGTTTTTATGGTTGCGAAGAGGGGAGTAAAAGATGGATCAAAGTGGGGTGGAGATAGGAAGGGGTGAGGAGAGAATTTGGGTTAACTGCCCAGGGAAAGTCATATCGATCCCCGCGAGTTTCTTCGCAACCAATCAGATTCACCGCGTGCAGGGAGTATCCTTCTTACACGACGTCGCTTAATGGCTTCAAATACTTTGAGGGGGGTGGGGATCTGTAGGGAGTTTCGATATGGGGATGAAGGTGGGAATGAGGAGAGCGTGAAAAGTAGCACGGGGTGGGACCAAAATTCAGACGAGAAGGAGTAGGACCGAAGCGCAAGAGAGAGGGGAAGAAAAACAGTTATAGGTGAAGGAGATAAGGCGTGAAGAGGAGGAGGGTGAATGTGGCATGGGTCCTAGAGGAAAGCGGGGAAAGCTTGCATGCATGGCATCGGTGAATAAAAGGAAAAGGCACAAAAAAAATTATGTTCCATCCTAAAGCTACTTCAAGATTGATAAATTTAAATGCAATATGAAAGCGCGGGATCGAGCACGTGGAAATCTTATGTTTATCTAGCTTTCTACTGAAAATTCATAGATCTTCTAAGGGCTGGTGCGGGAACATCCATTTGCAAGAAACGACACGTCCGCAAGAAAAACACCCGTATATCCTGGGAGTTTTAACTATCGAACAAG